AAAAGAGAAATGACAATGCAAATGTCACATGGCAAGGGTTGAAATGGCAAGCTCCTAGCTAAGGCATGTAACTTGAGGGGCATGTTGGGTAATTTTGAGTCTTTAATCTCCATTCTTTTCATGAAAACCTTAACCAAACCCCATTACAACCCAAGGAAAAGTCCTTTTTGAGGGTTTTAAAGCTTTAGAAATCAAAATGATGGCAATCACTAAACTAAGAATAGCAAATCATGATCAAATTCAAGAGCTAATAGACTCAATGATGAAAGGCCCTGCCTGAACACTTTACATTGTCCTTAGTCACCCCTTTGAGCCTAAAGAAAAGGTAATCATCCAAATTATGAAAGCCAAGATGATTTTCTTGTGAATTTACCTACATCATGAACCGGGGAAGTGAAGAGTGATTGTGAAAGGGAAATACCGACAGAAAGGGATTTTTGAGCCTTCATATCCTTCTTTTTGATAACTAAACCCAAAGCCACATAACAGCTTTTAGTTTGATCATGAATTTCCATATAAAAAAAAAAACAACAAAAAAAAGGGGAAAGAAAAAAGGGAAGAAAAGGGTGACCTAATAAGCTAAATGTTTCCTTGAGTTGGAAAGTTGAAGATCCAATGATGAAAGGCATTGTTTCTCTATCCCAAACAGTAACATTGTCCTTTGCTTACCCTTTTTGAGCTAGAAAAAGGCAATCATTCAAATTTATAAAAGCCAAAATGATTTTCTTTCTATTAACCCACATTAATGACCGGGGAAGTGAAGAGAGAAATGTGAGGGGAATATATGAAGGAATTGATTTTGAGCCTTTATCCTTTCTTTCATAGTAGCCTAACCCCAAGCCATGTTACAAGCCTATATAAAGTCCTTATTTAAGGGTTTGAAACTTTCTTTGTCAAGGAACATTAAACAAACAAACAAAACATCCTTTCTCTAGCGAGTCCAAGTTATTTAGCTTGATGGTTTATGATCGGTCTTCTAAACATTGAAGGTTAGTTCATGGGAAGGAGATAGATTGGATTCGTCCACCTTGGCATGGAAGCAGACATTGTCTTATATGCTAAACATTGGATTGGTGGAATTGCAAAGAAATAAATTCTTGAAGCAAATACTTTATAGCCTGAATGCCTTCTAGCTTTGTTAAAATTGGTGCATCAAAAGTTGTGCAATTCAAAAATCATGTTTATCTCTTTCTATCCATACATATTATCCATGCCCTGGCCTTCTTTTCCTTGTTTAGATTGGGAGGCTGATTGGTTATGATGCTTTATTTCAGTTAATATAATTGCTTTATTTAACTGAAATCTCTTGACAAATTTGAAAATGAGATGAGAGTTGCAGAGAAAACCAAAAGCTTGTTTCAACGGTCATGGTGCTTATCCTATCTTGTAATGATTCGAGAATTTTCTCCAGTAAACTAGAGATGTTCCCAAGTCAATGAACTTTATGCAAAACATGTCATCAAGCCTATTAATGGATGCACAACACAAAGGACACTGGACTCTTGCCAAATATGGGTATCCAATATGTTCAGGGAAGTTTCTTAACATCTCTTCTTGGTTAAAAAACCATTTTCTTACTTGGTTAAAAAAAAAAAAAAAATTTTCACGCTCGATTCAAAAACCATTTCTCCCTTGGTTAAAAAACCATTTCTTGCTTGGTTCAAAAACCATTTTTCCCTCGATTAAAAAACCGTTTCTTGCTTGGTTCAAAAACCATTTTTCCCTCGGTTAAAAAACCGTTTCTTACTTGGTTCAAAAACCATTTCTACTCGGTTAAAAAACCGTTTCTTGCTTGGTTCAAAAACCATTTCTACTCGGTTAAAAAGCCATTTCTTACTTGGTCCAAAAACCATTTTTCCCTCGGTTAAAAAATTGTTTGGTTCAAAAACCATTTCTACTCGGTTAAAAAACCATTTCTTTCTTGGTCCAAAAACCATTTTTCCCTCGGTTAAAAAACCGTTTCTTACTTGGTTCGAAAACCATTTTTCATTCAGTTAAAAAAAAAAAACCGTTTCTTGCTTGGTTAAAAAACCATTTCTTGCTTTGTTCAAAAACCATTTCTTGCTTGGTTCAAAAACCATTTCTACTCGGTTAAAAAACCGTTTCTTACTTGGTTAAAAAACCATTTCTTACTCGGTTAAAAAACCGTTTCTACTCAACATGCTCGGTCGTTTGACCATAGCCACTCAAAACTAGCTTGGTCGTTTGACCGTAGCAACTTGACTCATTCGGTTAAAAAACCGTTTCTTACTTGGTTCAAAAACCATTTTTCATTCGGTTAAAAAACCGTTCCTTGCTTGGTTCAAAAACCATTTCTCTCTCGGTTAAAAAACCGTTTCTTGTGTGGTTCAAAAACCATTTCTCTCTCGGTTAAAAAACCGTTTCTTGTGTGGTTCAAAAACCATTTCTCTCTCGGTTAAAAAACCGTTTCTTGTTTGGTTCAAAAACCATTTCTACTTGGTTAAAAAACCGTTTCTTATTTGGTTCAAAAACCATTTTTCATTCGGTTAAAAAACCGTTACTTGCTTGGTTCAAAAACCATTTCTCTCTCGGTTAAAAAACCATTTCTTGCTTGGTTCAAAAACCATTTCTACTCGGTTAAAAAACTGTTTCTTACTTGGTTCAAAAACCATTTCTTGCTCGGTTAAAAAACCGCTTCTACTTGGTTAAAAAACCGTTTCTGGTTTGGTTATAAAACCATTGCTTGCTCAGTTATAAAACTGTTTCTTGCTCGGTCATTCGACCGTTGCAACACAAGTACAAGCACAAGCACAAGCACAAGCACCAGCACAAGCACAAGCACAAGCACCAGCACAAGCACAAGCACAAGCACCAGCACAAGCACAAGCACAAGCACAAACACAAACTTGCTCGGTCCTTTGACCGTTGCAACTCAATTTTCTCGGTTATAAAACCGTTTCTTGCTCAACTAGCTTGGTTATATAACCATTGCTATGCAACCGGCTCTGTTGTTTAATCGTAGCCACTCCATTTGCTCGGTCGTTTGACCGTAGCTATTCCATGTGTTCGGTTATTTAACCATTGTGGTTATATAATCGTCTACAATCACCTCTTACAATCACTGTTTACAATCACCACTTACAATCACCTTTTACAATCACCTCTTACAATCACTTCTACAATCACCATTTACAATCACCTTTTACAATCACTGTCTACAATCTCCTTTTACAATCACCATCACCTTTTGACAATCACTTCTTACAATCACTTTTACACTCACCTTTTTACAATTACTTTTTTACAATCACTATTTTCAAGCACCATTTACAATCACCGTTTACCATTTACTTTATTTGTTTGGTCATTCGGCCATTGCAGTTATAAAATCATCTTTCACCATTTTTAGTTTGCTTACTCGGTCATTTGACCGTTGTGGTTATAAAACCATTTTCACTTTCCTTGTTCGGTCATTTGACCGTTGTGGTTATAAAACCATTTTCACTTTCCTTGTTCGGTCATTTGACCGTTGTGGTTATAAAACCATTTTTACTTTGCTTGCTCGGTCATTCGACCGTTGTGGTTATAAAACCATTTTTACTTTACTTGTTCGGTCATTCGACCGTTGTGGTTATAAAACCATTTTTACTTTACTTGTTCGGTCATTCGACCGTTGTGGTTATAAAACCATTTTTACTTTACTTTTTCGGTCATTCGACCGTTGCGGTTATAAAACCGTTTTCACTTTTCTTGTTCGGTCATTTGACCATACTGATGCTTCACTTTTTCAGTCATTCGACCATACTCATGCTCCACTTTTTCGGTCATTCGACCATACTCATGTTTTACTGTTCCGGTCATTCGACCATACTCATGCTTTACTGTTTCGGTCATTCGACCATACTCATGCTCTACTGTTTCGGTCATTCGACCATACTCATACTCTACTCCTTCAGTCATTCAACCAGTTTTTACTTTACCTAATTAGTTGCTCAAGTGTCAAAAAAAAACAAAACAAAACAAAACAAAAAAAAAAAAAAAAAAAA